ACTAGTAAGGCACCTGTTACTACTAGCGTGGCACCTGTTACTACTAGCGTCCTTGTTACTACTAGTAAGGCACCTGTTACTACTAGCGTGGCACCTGTTACTACTAGCGTCCTTGTTACTACTAGTAAGGCACCTGTTACTACTAGCGTGGCACCTGTTACTACTAGCGTCCTTGTTACTACTAGTAAGGCACTTGTTACTAGAAGCGATGCACTTGTTACTACGAGAAGGCGAAGTTCCAAGAACCGAAGGTCAAACGGCCCGATGAGGTCAGCTTGATCTGGTCCGAAGGTGACTGGATATATAATGCAGGTCAGTTCTATGTTTTGAACAGTCCTGAAAACAAACGTAGCAGTTCGAGAACGTTGTGGTGCACTCCCAGGTGGCGCTTTTGACTACCATCTCCATAAGTTCATGTCTCACGTGCTGCGAAAAGACCTCCGGAACCTTCCTGGCGCCTGGTACATGGAGAGCATGTAGGCTGCATCCACCACACACACGAAGATCAGCAAAAGCAATGCTCTCGGCTCCCAGAGACCAGTGGAATCGCCTTCCCTACCTCTTTTCCAAAGCCGCGTGGATGAGAAGCACATGGCGGCCATGATCAAACGGCAGTAAGCGAACAAACATAGGCTGCTGGAGACCTCGGATGGCATTCTGCAAGGCAACGGCCTCAACAATAATAAGCACCAAACCAAAACGGAGCGACACTGGTCAGCAATACGCTATGAGGGTGAAGGCCATTGCTATTCCATGGCACTCCAACAGCCGCAGCGTCAAGGCGGTAGGTGGCCGAATACCTTGACTGCCGCAGGACTAGAGGAACAAGTTGTTTTTTCTGGAATGTCTAGACTCAGCGTGTACGGTGTATCCACCCGAAGCAAGGACGTGGGACGCTGCAGTGAAGAATGTTGGAAGGATGCTGCAGTGTTGCAGACCCTAATTTGCGGGTTCACAATGGTTCACACAGTCCAGACGTGAATCTGGATGACCACTGCAACTAGAGTGTTAGAAAGGAGATTTCTTCCAAAACTCCTTGTTTGCAAACCAACCATGTCTTGAGTAGCGACTTTGAGCAACCTCAGGTTAAGGAGCAGAAAGCAATTCAGTATGATGAAGCCAGCACCTGCGGAGATTCCACCCAAGAACCTTTTGGCCAAACCCAAAGTCAACACAAATCCTTCGTGGGCAACATGGCCATGGAGGCCATCGCTTGTAGGCTGGAGGCCATCTTGGCCTCCAACCTAATAGCGATGGCCTCCACCCTAGTAGCTTCTTGCTACTGTCAACAAATCCTTCGCGTTCGCGGGCAACATGGCCATGCGCGTAACACGCACGCGTTCGGCACCTTTGGGCAATCCTCTTTGTCCAGCTCTGGCCTGGATACCGACAGCGACGTGAAGATGGGGTGGAACGACGACATATGGAAACGAATTGAAAAGTTACATTTGGATTCTTGCAACTGAGTATACTAAAGGATTCGGCAACGATAGGTCTGTGTGACTACCAAGCAACCAGGGGAGCCACAAGTCCAAAAAAGTCTTTCGTCAAGACAAGGACATCAGGTGCCAACCACTCAAGTGTGGAAATCCGCCCGCGCCGAAGGTGCCGAGGTGTTGTGGAGGCTCGCACAAGCCGCAAGATAGCTGCTGGATTGATCCGCTTAATGAGCTTTAGCGGGCCCCTTCGATGCTGTGATACTGGTGTGCTTGCGTGGGCTTTTTGATGTTTGTTCAAGATTAAAAATTGATGTGGCTTTAGAGGTAAACGTTCGCGATGCCGGTGATGCATTCCACTGGAGACTGCATTATTGACATCGTGGGTGTGTTCGTTCGTGTGTCCTGCTCGACCGATACAGACAGACTGACAAACCGAGACAGATCGACAGAGACAGACAGACGCACACACTCCGTGCGGGCGGCTTTGAGCGCGAAGCGCTGTGAATAGGTGCACTACTACATCATCTGAAAGCTTTGTGCCTAGTATAAGTAACAGCCATGCTGGATGAATGGGCAGGCTACTAACTCAGATCATGGGCTGACAACCCAGGTTCTGTTGAAGATTCCCTGAACCGGCACAAGACATGAACATGCACAATCTCTCCTAGGTCCTAGCTAGAAGATTGCTTTAAAGTTTATTATCCAAGTCCCAGATGTCTGCCAGACGTTCCATTTTTCAGAAATCGTCTCTGTCGTCGCCAGGCCTGGTCCGTCATGGACAGTGCCAGCATGCCGGCTGCGATGCATGCGACCGCCGAAGCTTTTCGCAACGAGGGTGCACAAGGCCAGCCCCCGCTGAAGAGCGGCAACACCATAGTGCCCACCTCAGTTCCAGGCGACGCCCCCTGCATCGGGTGGCTCCGAAAGGGTTTTTATTTTCTGCTTTTTCTGTGTATACTAGTAGCAAGAAGCTATTAGTAGCAAGGACGCGATTAGGTGGAGGCCATCGCAAGTAGGTTGGAGGCCATTACTACTAGTAACAAGAAGCTATTAGTAGCTAAGTGCATCGCTACTAGTAACAAATGCATCGCTATTGGTTTAAAAAAAAAAGGTGCTTCGTTCTCGAGATCAAGACGCCAGCAGCTGGATCACCTCAAGACGCCATAGCCGATGGATTTCAAAAGATGCCAGTCCCCACCAGCCCATCTAATCCTTCTTTGGAGTCCAAGCTCTGTGCAAAAGTGTTGTTGTTTCTAACGAAGAAAGTTGAGAGCCCGCCTCCAATTGGAGCTCAAAACTTCGTCAGAGAACTTTGGCAGTATTCTGAAGAAGACTATTGCCAGTTGCACCAAGCAGCAGGGTCAAAAGCTAGAAAGGGGGCGCACAATGACATCTCGCCCACTTTGTACGCCTCGGGCACACTCACACGCGGAAAAGTCTCGCTGCTTGTATACTTAACTGCCATCTGAGTCTGATGTTGTCTAAATGATCTTTTTCAACTTGCGGCTGGAGTGCAACAAGGACAGTAAACAAAAGAGAGTCCGTCTATGAATGTAAAAGCCTAAGATGCTGAGCAGTTGGGCAAATGAACAGTCTTCTATCGGCTCTTCATTGCCTGGTTTGATTCACCTAACCCAACAGTGTATCGGCTGTTCTCTTCGGTCGAGCGTCGTGGGTTTCAGCAGTTTTGATGATGGCGTTCAAAAAGCTGGAGCTTGCCAGGCAAATCCAGAAAATCATCGGCAATGAGTGGAAGCTGTGAAGGGGATCTTGATCCCGAAACATGAAGGTCATGGCCACCGCACCTTGCTAACGCTTTGGGAGCCAGAGCGTACCAGACCTTCTAGGTTTGGAAAACAGTCCGAATGCGTGTTTCATACAGGATTGGGACCGGCCAGTAACACTCCCAAAACCTGTTAGGGCAAAGGGATAGAAGGGATGACGGATAGAAGTAAGTCTAAAACCAAATGATGGGAGTCCGAAAAGTCACCAAGCCTCCTGTGCCTTTGTTAAGTGCCAAATCTACATCTTCGGCTCCCCCCAGGAGAGCAACCCAAGCTCTATACCACACGATCACTTCTTCTTCGCATGGGATGTAACTATTTTAAGTGATGCACCAAATAGATAGCCACAAAGCAGCATCACAACCTCCCACTCTAGTCACATCTCATCATCTTCAAGGCTACACCATTTGCCATTTCCCCTAAACAGAACATCTCTCTTCCCAGCTCCATCGTTCCATCATTGGTTCCTTCATCGACCCTTAGCGCCACACCCCCAGGGCCGACCACTCCACACCGGCCACCCCAGGCAGGCCACCCCAGGCCAGGCACCTTGAATCAAGGAGGTCATCCCGACCTGCTCCGCATTGGACACCGCCTTGCCCGCCCGTGGCGTGGCCAGTTCCTTCCGCAGCGCCGAGGCCATGGGCCGCCCCACGATGGCCACCGCCGACCAGAGGAGCCCCGCCATGTGGCGGCTCAAGGGCTTCGGGGTATAACCTTGTTGGAGGTCCAGGCTGTGGGGCATGTAGGGCCCACAATAGAAAAATGTATATATAAGGAGATATAGAGCGTCTATGAATGGGATTGCGGTGAGCTTCTTGGCGCTCTACGGCTCGGTGTCATCATTGATTGAGAACATGAAAAAGACCCTAGGGAGCAAGCTGTTGCTTCCCTTGCTTCCTTGGGAGCTCGGTGTTGGTTCGAAACCAAGAAGCTTAAGGCGAAGCCCCCATCGCGTCCGCGTCTCTCCAGGATCAGGGAGATACATGCCAACAGCAGAAAGACCACTGCCAAGGACTTGTCCCGCTGGGCACCGGTCAACGGTCGACCGGTCAAGGGTCCGGCAGGTGGGCGGCCACACATGGCGGTCGATGGCCTGGAGCGAGGCCCCATCGGGACGAGCACCGGCTGCAGCATTGGCGAAAACAGTCCGTGATCGAACCAAAACTGAACCAAAATGGCAGCAGTGAAACAATGTGAAGCATGTTGAATGCCGATTCTCTCTGGATTCATCTTGGACAGTGTGTACCTGTAGCAGCCATGATGCTCGGTCTGTTGATGAGATGAGTTAAAGCGACTGTCCTTCAGACTTTCCACATATCTGCATTGAATAGTCCAGCCCTTTCATTTTGAATATTAGAGGAAAAAAACAACAAACGAGACGCTCTCTCTTTCTTTCTCTCTGGGCAAGCTGCGGCTAATGACACATATTGGTTGCCGTTGGATCAAGAGGATTTAGGCACCAAGTACGAATACTGTATCCTCGGTGTTTCTACTGACCCTTGCTACTGTGTCCATCTTAAGTCTTGGACGTTATCATCCCTGATTAGAAACATTAATCTCCCCAATCAGCGCCCGAAAAAGAAAAAAAGTGCACCTCAGCCTCACAACTTCTCGACCTAGGCTGCATGAAAGAACGATCTCGAAGACATCTTTAAACTTTTGCGTACTGTTGGCCGTTTCTGCACTGAATAACAATACCTACTCTGAAACATTAGGAACACAAAAGGGTCAAATCGAAAAAGACCTGAAACCAATGCGGCTTCCACTGGCTCCTGTGTTGACTCTCACTGTAAAGATGCCATTGTTTTGCTTCAGAGTCAATTTCGCCCCGTGATCTGGTCGGCAAAGACACAGAAAAGGTATGTCACAAGAAAGAAGAAGGTTCACAAAACAATGCATATAAACAGCCGAGCACCAAATCAAGACTTGCATGCACTAATTCAGGCATTCAAGGACTAATATGGTATTTTTTCTACAGAGGCATTTTGCCATGAGTCAATGAGGCTCTTCTTAAGTAGTCAGGTCAAACAACTTAAGCAGTCTTGCAAGTTTAACTAGTAGCTAAGTGCATCGCTACTAGTAGCTAAGTGCATTGCTATTATTAGCTAAGTTACTACTAATAACAAGAAGCTATTAGTCGCTATTTGCTACTAGGGGCTCCTGGCATCGCTACTAGGAGCAAGGACGCTACGTTCGGGGCTCCTGGCCATACTACTAGGAACAAATAGCTACGAACGTAGTGTTTCTAGTCCCTAAGGGTTCTGGGCATCAGACAAGGATGCACGCGGCGCCCAAGACGCCATGTGAAAGCGGTTCAAGCGGCTGGTTCGCCCCTTTGTCCTGTCGCCCCTTTCAGGTTTTGTTAGGTGCGACTCGTGGCGTCCTTGCTGGTAGCAATGCCAGGAGCCCCGTTCGTAGCGATGCCCATTGCTCCGTTCGTAGTAAGGCCAGGAGCCCCGTTCGTAGCGTCCTTGTTACGTTCGTAGCGATGCTCTTTGTTCCTAGTGAAGCTTCAGGGGAAAAAGAAATGGATTCTGACTCGAGTCTCGAGAGTCTGAAGGAGAGCAACTGTGCAAGGAGGAAGCACTCCAATATCCAGTGAGATGTGTCAAATATCAGGGAATTGATACGTGTGACGCTTCATATGTTTGATGAACAAGCTTATGATAATGAATCTGCCATTGAACAGTTGACAGGCAGTGGGCTTCTGGATGTTGATGTGCATCTCAATGGTGCCGTGTTGGTGAAGAAAATCGGGAGTGATTTCTGTGGCCGTGTTGGCAAAGCCTATCTTAGGAGCAAGGACGCTATTAGGTGGAGGCCATCGCAAGCAGGTTGGAGGCCATTACTACTAGTAACAAGAAGCTACTAGGAGCAAAGGGCATCGCTACTAGTAACAAAGCGCATTACTACTAGGAGCATTCTTTCCACATACTTGATCACCTCTGCCTGCTTCGCTGATATCCTGAATAGAGATGAATAGAGTGCGTGCGATTCGCAATTGCCAGCACTGATGCTCGACCGAGGTCAATGAAAAGTACTCGACCGAGGGTGCTTTCTCATCAATGTGAAAGCCTTGGCAAGTCACCTAGTCACCCAGTGTATTGCCTTGGCAAGTCACACACATAGATTGACAATACGCAAGGCATGGCAATCACGTCACCTCACAAGAAGCTATTAGTAGCTATTTGCTTCTAGTAGTATTGAGTCCAGAAATGCCAAATGTAATTGTTGTAGAATCGTTGGATTGAAGATTGTTCAATCTGGTTCCTGCAATCCCTCTTCCTGCATCGCTCACAGCACGAATCTTTTTGTCCCCCGCCTGATGTTTGCATGTACTGTAAGCCGAATTTGGGCGGCATACTCACAAGTGGCAGCGACTCAAGAATCGTATTTATATCACTTATCTCATCTCTGAATTCTGGTTCTACTGCAGCTATGCTTCCACATCCTAGTCTGCTGTCTGGCCACATGCTCTATTTTTACTTCACTCCATGTGCAAAGGCATGTCCAATCATTTTCATCAAGCAGGTGCCAACATGAATTCTTTTGGAACATTGGAAGCTTTCTGCCCATGTGAAAACGCCCGTCATCGAATTGTGCAGGGCCTTAAGGCAGTCGTGCCAAGGCACTTTGCCCATTTGGGGCTTCCCCAGGCAGGTGCAGAAACGCACACGATGCCGCGGCCTTTTCTTTCTCAGCCAACTCTTCGCGCGCCTCCTCGGGAGAGGCAGTGAGGTGAATTGCGGATTCATCCGGTTTCACCGTTTCAGAGGGGATCAGGCGGATCGACCAAAAAGGACTCATGCTTTGTTCCTACTTTGGGGGCAAAAACATCGCCATCCTCGAAATCTCGCACGGCCACCGAAGGTCGAACATCGCCACCTGCGGGTCCTCGCGTTCGCCACACGTTATGCTGTGATGCGCTCCTGCAGCTGCTGAAGGGTCCGTTGGAGCCAAGAGCTCACCAGCCCCAAGCGTTCCAAGGCTGGCTGCAAGCCTCAAAATGCCGGCATGAGGCGTGATAGGTGGCATTTGGCAAATGAGTGGTGAAGACGCGATGCTGCGATGATCTGCGATGTCCTCCCTTTTTCACACCCTCAGCGCGCTCGCTTCCCGACACCCAGAGGTGCTCGAGCACCTCCCCTGCCTGAATCAGCATCCATGTCACAGGAGATAGCAGGAGCCTGGAGCAGGAAACATAGGAAAACATGTGCAAAAGTTACAGCATTCAACTTCTTCTCCTGATGAGATGAGAATTTGCATGCATTTGCTTGTACTTCATTCACTTCGAATCTGGGAGACCATTTTGGCATGTTTGCCACCCTTGCCTACTACGCCATCGCAACAATGTGGTTGCAAGCACTAAAATCGCTGAGCTATCACACTGAATGATAGAATCCTCCACCAAAACCAGTGGAGCTTTGAATGGAGATTCAACTATATAACCTCCCAAGACGCACCGACGCACCTCTCCAAGCCTCTGAAACTTTCATCTCAAACCAGTCCCCAAGGAACATACTAATCCCAAAATTCACCTCTGATGGGGTTAGGTCAAACAAACTGACAATTGCTCACCCCAAAATATCTCATTGGAAATCAATCACGCGGCTCAAGAACACTAGGGATGAATGGTGGTTGATACATTCTCCGGGCAAAAATGGCAGCACTTGGCAGCACAAACAACAAGCGCCTCCTCTGCCAGCTGGTGAAGCAGCTCCTGAGCCAAAACAACAACTACGTGGAATCTCAACCTAGAAGGCCTCCATCCTAATAGCAATGGCCTCAAACCTACTAGCGATGGCCTCCAACCTAGTACTAATAGCCTCCAACCTACTAGCAATGGCCTCCAACCTAATAGCAACGGCCTCCAACCTAGAAGCGGTGAACCTCCAACCTAAGAGCGATGGCCTACGTGGAATCTCAGACTTGCAAGGTCAAAGACGGTCAAAGGATAAAACAAGCCTGGCGGCTTTGACCACATCGTTGGAGGGATCTTCGCTTCTAGTGCACAAAGCAAAGCATTTCACTCCGCAGTTTGCCATCTCGGAGCCTTCAGAGTGTTTGGCTCCGAGGCCAAATGCTGAGCGTTGGCTTCCAAAGCATCAAGCTTCTTCAAGCGATCCTGCCAGTTCGTTTGGGAGCAGTGGCGAATTTGGAGGAATTTTGGTCAGCAACTTTGCCCATAAAGGACTTTTCGCCAAGCCACCCCGGAGGTATCCAGCTGCCGCTGCAGAGAAGCAATCTTGGCTTCCAATTGCAGCTTCTGCAGAGCTCGCGTTGAGGGCAGCACTCTTGTTAAACCATCAACCGTAACTCCGACTAGCGGTTGGTCTTGAAGCAAATTCTCAATGACTTGAACTCCCCACCACCGGACTGAAAGCCTACCAACCACGATTCGAACCCACCGGCGGCAAACTCACTTCATGTGGCACAGCGCCGCACACGCCTCGTCGCTAAGTTGCGCTGCCTCTTGTAGGTCCACCGCGCGGGCGACCGGCTGACGCAAGGACTTTAGCACACAGGTCCTGGCGCAGCAATCGCATGACTTCTTCAAAAACAGAGGCCATCGCTCTTCAGTTGTGTTTGAGAGGGCATGTTGAAGGCTGTTAGGTTATGTGTTTGAGGCGAAAAGGCAGAGTTCAGAGTTCGGAGTTCACGTTTTGTCCACGTTCGAAGGTTCGCTGTCCTGTGTATCGATTGCTAGGCCGAGCAGTCGTTCCCTGACAAACAACGAAAACAGCAGCCGTGCGACCTCTCAGCTCTGCGGCAGATGTGCTTGAGTGCTCTTGCCACTGCCTCTCACTGCTTTTGGCCAAAGCAACTAACAAACTAATGCTGCTGTAGAATTAGTCAAATAAGACTTCCAGGAGCTCAAGCCTGTTTCATGGTTCAACTGACCGACTAGACACCACATCTGCCCAGCCGAAGAAATGACAGTTGTAGATAATATGTAAATCCTCTTTGAAAAGAAACATCTGCAGAGTTCATGCGACATCTCATTTGGAGAAGAAAAGAAAACAGCGAATCAAAACCTATAGCTGTGTATGTACGTCGCACTCGGCTACATCTTGCACCTCATGCACCAGAAGTTGTCGAAATCAAGTGCGTGATCGATCGGGAGATTTATGGGTAGCGTCCCATCCAGCCACGGTGTCGCCTCCTCCAAACATTTCTGTCCGCTGCGCAGCTGCCAAATCTCACCTTCGCATTCGCCAATCGAGAGTGAAGGCGCCGGAGACTCCTAATTAGTAGCGATGGCGATGCCCTTGTTCCTAGTGGCAATGCCAGGAGAGTAAGGGTCTTTGCGCCACAAAGCTCTGAAGTTGTGACGTGTCGTGCGCGAGTGTTGAGCCATCGGAGGGGTTGTGACGTGCACCAACTGAATAACAGTCCAAACCAAAGACCTCGTGCTGTTTTCTCACTTCCCTTCTTCGGCCTAAGGCTCGAATCTCTTCAGCCGTCGCTGCACTGAATGCCTGGCAAGGCATTTGCTTCTTAGTGGAAAAACTCGGGCATCTCTTTTAATCGAGGGAATGCTGCCTCCGACCAGGATAAATGGATAAAATATTGGACTCTCAACCTCCCAACCTTGCTGAGAGGTGAATCGATTTGTGAGTTGTAGGCTCGCAAAGGGCGGGCCTGCGCCATGATCGCATGGCGCCCAGTCCCTTGCGCCGGCGCCACGTCGCAGCGTGGTGCAAAGGTCACGTGGGTGTTGGGATACCTGGGACCGTCTCGGCACGAAAACAAGAAGACCGAAGACCGTCTCGGCACGAAGACACTGTGGTCCACTCCGGCAGTTGAAGCTGAAAAAGGGTCTTCGGGATCTTCGAGGAGAAGATCCTCATCTGATCCTATGAAAACCCACGGTGGGACGTGCAAAGGGCCATGCTGCTCCAAGTTGCTCCAGTTCTTTCAGAGCGAGGCTGATCCCAAAGCTGCGGCCCTTCTCCACCTCACGTCGACTGCTCCGACCATTGACAAGAGCATCAATACTAGTAGCGATAGCCTCCAACCTATAGTAGCGTCTGATCGCTCCGTTCGTAGCGATGCCCTTTGTTACTAGTAGCTTCTTGCTCCTAGTAGTAAGGCCAGGAGCCCCTAGTAGCGTCCTTGCTCCTACTAGCGATGGCCTCCAACCTGCGAATCACGAGGAAGAATGGGAAGTGTTGGGTGAACTGCCCGACTGACCGGAGGAGTCTATGGCCTGTCATGGCAAAATCACCTCCACCACTTGCACCTTTGCTCTTTGTTGTTGGATCCACCCTCATCAGCCAAGGTCCGGATCTTTTTTGTCCATCAAACCAATCAAACTAAACCCTAGGATTCGAAACACCATCGATCCGGAATCCCGAACAACCTTTGTTTTACTAAGGATTTTACAACATTTTGTGGTCTGTGAAGGCTAAGGGCTGATCCACCTTTCAACCACGGCCACACTGAGACACCGTGCCTTGGGAACATCTCTACAGGGCCTCTGGCACCTAAGCTGCTGTGCTCTCCAGTCTGACTCCATCCAAGGGCTCCTAGGTCCTAGGGGGTCCAGTCAGATTGGACTTACCCTCTCTCCAACAAACGGAAGTGGACAACACCCCTATTTGTAGATGAATATCTTCTTTTCAGTGGTCATTTTCCGCTTCCATGATTGTTGGAGGGAGGGTATGATACCAAACTGATCCACGCTGGACCAAATCCCTTCCGCAGGCTCCAGTAAGAAAATAGTCACAGGAGCACCTCTTCCGTCGCCCGCTGAGAACTGCGAGCCATGCATCAGAACGAGGTTGCCCGAGTTCTTATTAGATCCACATCTTGAATTACATAGTAGGCAGAACACATCATTCAACGATGCAAGCGAATTCTTGTCATTGTTGGCTAGGTCTCATGCCCAGTCAGATCGAACTTGCTTTGTTGTACAATGTTGTACATCAGTTTCCAGTACTTCATATTATTTTATATCCATGTTCCCATCTCTTCACCATGTCGTATGAATCTTCGAGCCTTTTACTCTGCTCCTCGTCTCGGGCCTCCCTGCGACGCATGGTACCCCGCGTGGTAGCGCTGGGCTGCAAAGATGCAGGGAGGAACCGCCTCTGCATGCGAGTCGAACAACGAGATGAGATTCTCTTAAAGCAATGGAGATGAGATGAGATTCTCTTTTGTAACTTTAAACAAAAATATATATACCTTCTTTTGAGTTACTAATAGCAATGGCCTCCAACCGAAGGCTTCCATTGGCCTTGGTTCCTCTTTGATTTTTCTATGCTGCTATGCTAGGCTTGCTGCGTTTTTGCAACCAAGCACCCACCGAAAACCAGGGCCTGCATGCCACGTCGAGCCTGGAGCTCTGGCCCACTAGATGAGCTCTATCGAATGACCTCTATCCTGTCTATCCTTGCAAAAAAGTGATGTCTCTTCTTTTGACTATTCCTTTTTCATGTGTTGTATGTCTTTCTCTTCTTTGTTGTTTCATGTCTTTCTTTTCAGTCTCTGGAGCACTCTGGAGCTTCCGTTGTTTTTTTCCCATGCCAATGATGTACGGATTGGAGGTCGGAAACTAAGCCCTTCTCCTCGGGAAACCGTGGAGCAGCCTGAGTTGGACACCCGCCAGGTGAAATTCTATGGTTCCCTGCTCGCGTAGGTCGTGGGAGCGTTCCAGCCTTGCTGTCCTTGGGAAAACTGTTGAGGAGGGGTAGACCTACGGTCTTAGCGTCCTTGCTAGCTTCAAAGACCGTTCCTAGTAGCTTCTTGTTGCTGGTGAAACAATTCCCAGTGAAACGTTCAGTCATGCGTTCGGCTTCCAATTCATGGCTTCTCAAAGAAGCCACGCTGTCAAAACTTATTTTGTGCGGTACAAGCCCGAAGCCTGAAAAACAGCAATGTGATACATTGTGCACTATGTCTTGGAACGGTACAAGGGGCTCAAAACACCACTGCCGAAACTTGGCACGAATCCATTCCAAGTAGCATTCTTCTTCACCTGGCATTGGCTTTTCGGCTGGGAAATGGATGAATTGTTGGACCTCCAACAATATGACTTCGAAAGAGGACAGCATTTTTTGCAAAGACAACTTGCTCCGGTATATAAGTACATAGTCATCTCTGATAATCTTCAAAATGTCTGCTTCAACTTCAACAATACAACTTGGGACAAGGGGACCTTATCTGCTCCTTGCAACCGTGCGGACCCTCTAGAGTCTAGAGCGTGCAATCTGTCCTGTATAGACATGGAAGGATATATAGACAAATTAGAGCTTGCAGTTTGAGTTTGCAAGAGTGCACCTGTCCAAGTGCAATTTGCAAAAAGACCCATTGGATCGCACTGGTCTCATTCAGTGGATGGGAGATAAATCAAACACAAAACATGTCTGCCTTGTGCACATCGCTGTACAATACTACTTTTGACTCCAGTCAACAAGTCAGAGTCGTGGTACCCCTTGACGACAGGATTGTAAGCTCAATCCAACTGCGCTGCCGAACGCATGATTTTTCCTGAACAGTTTGCACCAGCTTGAGACCAAGAACAAGAAGCTACTAGGAACAAGAGCATCGCTTCTAGTAACAAGTGCCTTACTAGTAGTAACAAGGACGCTACTAGGAGCAAGTGCCTTACTAGTAGTAAGAAGCTATTCCGAGCACTAGCGGACTCATTGCTTCTATTAGCTTATTTACTTATTGTTTCTATTTACTTATTGTTTCTGCTGGCTTCTTGTTGCTAGTAGTAAGGCACTTGTTACTAGAAGCGATGCACTTGTTCCTAGTAGCGAACCTTGTTTCCTACAGGCAAGAGAACAAATTGATCCGAGCACACACGCCCCTCGCGCACCTGAAGTGCCATCATGGCTCCCTGATATCTAACTATACACTGAGCCCAGTTTGGCGGGAAGTCGATCTGTAAACGAAGACAAAATAGTGGTCTCTCATTGACTCATGGGCCTTAATAATCTGCCAGATAGCAAAACAACTGATGAAAAGTGTATAGTAGTCTGGGTCTGCCATTGCTTTTGCCGCATGGGCAAGTCAGTCAGGCACAGGTTCCTTGTCAGACCTTCGATGCTTTGGTGTTCTCCAGTTTGGGCTCTCTGGGTTTGTAACAACCGAAGTGCAACCGTTCAACCGGGCATGAACCGATGAACTGTCGCAATCTCAAGGAACCTGTTCTCACCTGCAATTCCACCTGGCTCATCAGAAATGGTATTGATGCTGATGGAAGCCTGAGAAACTGCTGATTAAGTCCTGACACTGACATCGCTGACAAAGTCACAAGGTTGTGTCTGAGAAGGCTTGGTGGGAACAAGGTGACCAATACTACAACGTTGACACCTTTTAGCGGCGTGACAAAAAGACTCTCAAGCCAAACAAATGGAGTATCAGGACTCATGGGAGAAAGCATGGAAAAGCGTTTGTGCAAACAGAGACCTCATGAGGTCTGAAGATATGAAGATCAGCAAAGGCTGAAACTGCGCATGACCATCCAATACAATCATTTTATCAAGTAATAAACATACTTCGGATGAGGCAAAAATCAATCCCACGAGCAAGGGACGAGGAAAAATACTATACACCTGCTTTCAACAAATTCACAAACAGCTTTCAACCTAGGATGGTCATCAACCCACCCATCTGTGAGAAATGTGCTAAGGAGTTCTCCCTTTGAGGACTGCCATTTTACGCACCAGGAGTGGTTTGGGCCGTTTGCCAGCTCGCACCGCTTCGGAAGATATGGGCGGTTCCACCTAACAAAACTTCTGCGATGCCCTTTGCTCCTAGTAGCTTCTTGTTCCTAGTAGTAAGGCCAGGAGCCCCGTTCGTAGCGTCCGATCGCTCCGTTCGTAGCGATGCCCTTTATGCCCCCAAAAAACTGGATCAACCGATAGGTGGAACCTTCGCCGTTGGAAGCCGTGTGCGATATGGATCGATTGGATGCGCCCCGGCAGATCGCTTCGCTGATCAGGAGATGGCGGACTTGATATCCTCATAGGCCTTCAAAGAGATCTGTCCTACAACTTAGGAAGTGCAATTAGGAGATGCATAGGACACGCTTCGAGCCAGTATTAACATCTGTGTTGTGGAAGCATCTATATAACATCCTCGAAAACACGCCATCGCTAGCCATTCAAACCTGGCCTGATCCTTGGATGTCCGCATCTCATTTGGCCTGAGAAAGTCAAAGCTGTGCGCAGGGGATGGCACCGGACGACCTGGTCTGCTAGATTGAAAGGACAGTCTGATGGTCCTTGGGTGACTCAGCTAATACGAGTAAGAGTAATGGCTAATATCTGATTACAATTGTTTACATCTAGCTAGCTGAGAATGAAGAGGGCAAAAGGAGTTTGCAAAATTTTACCTCCGGCCCATCCACTCATGTGTGTCTGACACCTCTCATCAAAATATGTGTGTCTGACAAAGAAACGATGGGATCCCTTATCCTTTGTTTCGGAAAGATGAGCTCGCTGAACCAGTACGATATCGACCATGCGACATGAAGCTGCGAAGGTGGATCTTTGGATTCTGGGGCTAGGGCAACAATGCGCGGCCAAACGACCAGTTGCATTGCTTGCCTCGGACGTGTGCCCTCAGGTCCGTCACGAAAGAGTGCCCGATACGGTCGGCAGTCGTGGTTGTGGGCATGGGCGTGACAGCAACGCAATCTACGAGCATCTCGAAGTCATTTGGTCTAAGCTAATTCTTTGACTCCTGGGGCAAATATCGGCATCAGTGTGGCCTTACAAGCATGATATGGCCATATGGCTGTGGGTCAAAAGCGGGACACCCTGATTCTTCCCACCAAAAAGGAACAGAATAGACTACTGGGGAGGTCAACCTACCAGGGATTAAGGGGTCCCAGCAGCCATATCATGATGAATGTTGACCAAAATATTCAGTTCATTACTAGCGAACATGGCTCCTAGTAGCGATGCCCTTTGCTCCTAGTAGCGATGCCAGGAGCCCCTAGTAGCGTCCTTTGCTCCTAGTAGCGAGGTACGTGACCCCATGACAACTACGTTGGATGAGTGGTGGAGTGACGATGCTTGGTGCCCGAGCTTTGAGTGGTCGGCCGCGGAGTGGCGCACAGGCCCCTATCCGATTGAATGGCTGGAGATCAATGGTCATCCCAGTCAACAAAAATGCTCGCACTAAGCAGTTACACGCCTGTAGTGCCCAAGGGTTTTCTTACCTGGCCCATTCCTGGCTTTCCCATTCCCAGCCAGACTGGTTTCTGCACGGGTTCAGATCAAGATTCGGAATTGCATTTGGGCACTTCGCTCTTTTTCACATGTGTCACCTTCATGAGAGTGGGCTTGAATTTACTAGGAGCAAGAAGCTACTAGGAGCAAAGGGCATCGCTACATATCGCTACTAGGAGCGTTCGGACGCTACAAACGGGGCTCCTGGCCTTACTACGAACGGAGCAAGAAGTTACTAGGATTTGCTTCGAAGCCATTCTTCAAAGTGCGTGAAGTAAAGCCCGGTCGAACGGACCCCGCCTCGGCCGCCGATGGGTGCTCAAGGAGCTGTGGGCCCTCACTGGCAACAGCTGCACGTCCTCCGCACCACGGGGACGCACCGACTCGTCGCCCCAAAAAGCAGGCGCCAGGGGTGAGGAGACCAATGGATCGTCTGAAAAGTTCCAGATATGCTGAGACAAGCTCTTGAAACGGCCGTATTTTGTCTCAGAGCATGTTTTAGAGAAAGCATCGTATTTTGTTTGCAAGAGTACAGTAGCTAAGTCCATTCCCCAAAACACGCTAGTTGAGGCATTCTGGACCATGGATGGTTTCTCGACCTGGTGTGTGGTATGTGGGGTAATCCTATAAACATATATATATATAATACATATATATAATATATAAATCAATACAATAAAAAAAAGGCGACAGCAGATGATCAACCAAACACGAACGAATCCCTGTTGTTCATCGTTGAGGGTGCGCGAATTTTACCGGGACCCGAGGGTGGAGACATCATCCCGTCCTCGATTCCATAAGCCATAGAGGCACTGTCACGACTGGCAACGTTGCACGCCTGAGACGCAAAAGGGCACCAGTCATCCGCAAGTCATGCTGGAAACATTTGGGTCCTTCTGGATGTGCAGATATGTGCAGATGTGAAGATTCCAAACTCCTCGGGCGATCGGCCTTTGGGCTTTGCGCGCCAGGTCGACCCACCTGGACACGGCAGGACGGTCTCGTTGGCCTCCAACCTAATAGCTAAACTATATTAGACCTCTCTTGCATTTCTTGTTTCTTTGCTTCTAATAGCGATGGCCTCCAACCTACTTGCGATGGCTTCCAACCAACTAGCGATGGCCTCCAACCTCATAGCAAAGGCCTCCAACCAAAAGCGATGGCCTCCAACCTAATAGCGATGGCCTCCGATGGCCTCCAACCTAATAGCGATGGCCTCCAACCCAAGGGCAATGGCCTCCAACCTGAGAGCGTTGGCCTCCAACCTCATAGCGATGGGCCTCCAACCTAAGAGCGATGGCCTCCAACCTAAGAGCGATGGCCTCCAACCTACTCGCGATGGCCTCCAACCTAGAAGCGATGGCCTCCAACCTACTAGCCATGGCCTCCAACCTCATAGCGATGGCCTTCAAGTAATAGCAATGTTCTCCAACCTAGAAGCGATGGCCTCCCACCTAATAGTGATGCCTCCAACCTAATCTATGGCGATGGCCTCCACCTAGAAGCGACTAATAGCGATGGCCTCTAACCCAAAAGCGATGGCCTCCAACCTAGAAGTGATGGCCTCCAACCTAGAAGTGATGGCCTCCAACTAGTATAGAAGAAATGGCTTCCAACCTGGAAGCGATGGCCTCCAACCTAGAAGCGATGGCTTCCAACCTAATAGCGATGGCCTCCAACCTAGAAGCGATCCCGACCTACTAGCGATGGCCTCCAACCTTATAGGAATTCTGAAAAGAAGAATGGCCCCGTTCTCTGTTTGCCTACAAGTGCATCGAACGAAGAATGTTTTCTTGAAGCACTGAAGCACACCAGCTTTTAGTTAGAGGTGTTCGGTGCGTTGCTTGTATAGTACCAGCTAGAAATACACGCTGCGGCCAGAGGTTGAGCGCATTGTAATCCGGGTGATAACGGAGGTTGAGCGCAAGGTGTTTACCCAGTCAGCATCTCCCGCCTTGACAGCCAGAAGCTTGATGGGTTCCTGTGGATCCGTCCTGACAGAGCGCAGCGTTCCTTTCTGCAGCTTCCGACCGGGTCACAGTTCTGGCTGAGTGTCCTTAAGAAAAGCTCCAGAATCAACACAGCGTCAAACGGACTTCGTCTCGAGGGGTCCAACTCTCAAAGACCTGCCGTCCTGGGACTGTGTAAGGCTCTCTGTATTTCAGCAAAGACCTGCCGGGCGCCACGAGCGTTGCGCGGTGACCATCTTGGTGGTTTCACCGTGGTTTGACCCCTTAATGTGTTCACAACAAACGACAAATTACAGCTCACCCAACAGGGGCTGCATCTTTTCAGTGCCCAACATCCAACGGGGGGGGGTCTGAGGGTGCCATTGTGTTTTTGGAATGTTTAAACAACACTCCTCTTACAGAGATCACCTACAGAGCACGCATCCTGACAAACATCAGAGATCAACGATCCGTAACCATGCTAACATCCACATCTCCCCAGATCCACCTGCGCCGCGCCTGCGCTTTTCGCTTCTCTGCTGGGAGGTTCACAGAGCCTGGACGACCAGTCCGGCTCTGAGGCTCCGACAGTACGGCCGTACAAGGGACACCCCCCATGCACAAAAGCACGGGCATTACTACTAGTAGTAGCGGTGCCCTTGTTACTAGTAGTAATGACAAGATACTGTGCCAGAAACATCACATACCCCTCACTTACAAGATGCGTCCGATACAGGATTGTGTTTATTGTGGGGATTAGTGGGGAACAGGATGGGAGTTCTGTAGTCACTCTTCTTGTCGGATGTTCGGGTTTGCATTCACTTTGCTGAGGTGGCCTTGTCAACACTGTTGTCAAGACTATCGGTGTTTTTGAGAAAAACAAACTCGAAAGCCAGTCCATGTTCCGATTCTTTGTCTTGCTTGTTCATTCGGAGCTTTGGATGACATGGCTCGGCTCTATGATAGGGTGTCCATTCCGTTCTGCCACAGCGCTTTGATGTCCTCATGCCTGTGGTCTTGATGGTATCCTCATAGGCACGGTTGCAAGAGAGGCACCTGGTGCAAGACACGCACGCTCTGACCTTCACACAAACACTCGCGAAGATTGCGAAAATGCAAAATTGTCCACAAGGCACCAGCTGTGAAAGGGATCATACCTGGACTGTAGGTGCAAGAAAGGTCTGAATCTACCTGAACCTCCTCTCAAGATGCTCGCTTCACCGGAGGCTCTTTTTGAACGTCAAGGCCAGAGCTACATCGAACGCACGCTCGAATCAACCTTCGACACTAAATTCGAGGCCTGGCACCAAAGAGCACCGCTTGCTCTCGGTCTTTCATGTTCTGGCGCAAAACAAAAAGCGGCAACACCATAAACCCATCAACTGCTGTCATTGTCCAGCTTCGCAAAAGCTCGGCACTCAAATGTGTTCAGTCACTGCCGTTTCAACAGCGGCTGCATCCATGGTCAGAGGAGGACACATAACGATCATAACGTCCCCCATGATACTCTGACCCTGTCTGGCGGCCTCTTTCACTGTACTCAACTTGCTCCCAAGTACTTGAAGGCTTTCTTCCGCCTGGTCACTGCCAGACCCCCTAGCAAATGGTCAGTGTTGCTCCTTTCACGGACTCCACTCAACAAAAGGCAAACGAGAATCCTGTTCCTTCTCAAAGCCTCAGCCGACCCAAAAGCTTCCGCTTCAGACCTCTCCCCACAAACCGTTCCTCTCCAAGCTTCAAGCAAAACTATTCCTGCAGCATAGACCCCAAACAGTCTCAGCATGTATCAGCATTATTTTGTTGGCGTCAACTTCTTGAATTCCAATGTTGGTGGCAACCTCTGCATTGGGAGTGGCATGAAAGTATTAGGAAACGACAACAATAGCTCCTGATTGCCGATGTCAACTGTGCACACAAAGCGGTTGTCATGCTCCATCGTTTCCCCGATGTCACGGGTCGAGACACTTCACCCAGGTTCAGGAACTGAACAAACGGATGCATCCGGACAAGGGGTGGAGAAAGGGAAAGCCAGAGGGTTGACAGTGCAAACCCATGGGTTGGAGTTCTTGAGAATGGCAATGGTAATTATGCAAGTGCCACGCCTAGCTATTGGGAGCAAGGACGCTGGACCTGGCCGTCCTACCAGGAGCATTCTTGCTACTAGTAACAAGAAGCTACGATCGGACTCCTGGCATCGCTACGAGTCCGGAGCGATCGGACGCGACCGAGTGAAACACTTGCTACTATTGGTATCGGGGATCGGCTGGTGTGTCCCGTTAGGTCAGGTCCGACACCAGTTCGGACCGAATGAGCTTCCTTCTTCGCTCCTCCGTCCAGTTCGGCGGAGAAAGGGCAGCCCAAGCGCCGCTCTGGGTGTTCACGAGCACGTTCAAAGAGAGGCACGGCATGGCGTTCAACCCTTGCTTCATCACAGACTCCGACACGTCGTTCTGAGAAGACCGGTGATGTTTCGGAGTCGCTGGATCTCCATGTGTTCCTCGAAGCAGTGGACAGCATGGGTCGTCCTTCATCAAACAGAATGAAGGAAGAGGTGCTGGACTACACCTGAAGCATTGACCAGCTTGGATGAGCCACAGAACCACCACATCTTGGCCTGGGTCCATATGACCTTCAAATACCGATGAGATTACCCGGCTCTCTCATCTTGGAATTCGGCACAGAACATGATCTATGGGTGGATGTGCCTCCACCCTTGAAGGCGTGCTTCCAGCAGAGTTTCTTGGGGTTCCTAGTCGCATGTTGTTCCTAGTAGTACGGCCAGGAGCCCCTAGTAGCATCCTTGCTCCTAGTAGCGATGCCAGGAGCCCCTAATTGCGTCCTTGTTCCTAACCGGGGTTCATTGGCTAGCTGAGTTAGGTCAGTGTTGAAATCACCAACCACGAGCAGGTTGATGAGGAGATTGGAGAGACATCGGTCTATGGACTGCCAGACCTCCGCTCGACTTTTATCAGTGGGATACTGGTAGAGGTGAACAAGGTCAATGGTGAGTTGGGGTTGCATTGAACGTGCGTGACTCACATGACCCTACCATCAATTCAGCTCACTGTGGCAATGTCTTGGCTCTTACGCAGTCGATGGTTAATCAAGATCAGCAGACCACCGTGATCACGCGGGTCCTCCATTCCAAGTGGCACTCGTGTGACCCTGGGACCACGTGGCGTCGTAGTGGTCAGTGACTGGCACCGAAAGGGCAATGGAGTTGCAGCGCAATGCAAGGATGGTGCGACCTTTGTAGGTAGTGCTGCCCGTGTATGAGATTGGCCATAGCTGGACCAGCCGAACCCTCACCTCTCGTGGACCAAAAACACTTGTTGAATCAACCAAGCGGCGTCGAAAGGTCTGGAGTCGGGGGGGGCCAGCCTGAGGGTCGCCTCAAGCATGGAGGCTTGAAGGACAAGAGAAGGACAAGAGGAGGTGCAAGGCAGGAGGACACCAGGAGGACACAGAGTTCGCGAGCGCTGTCAGAGGACAGCAGGAGGACAGGTCCGGAGGACACAGGGTTTGCGAGCATGGCCAGCAGGACAACTGGAGGACAAGAAGAGGACAGGAGACAAGGGGAGGACCACACCCGAACACAGGGTTCAGGGCGGCCAAAGACCGTGGGCCGGTGTCTTTTTTCCTGCGAAATATTCTTTCCCTTCCTTCCCCAATCAGCACTGCTCAGCACTTCCCCTTCCCTTCCAAACAAAAAAAGACAATTCCACCCGTTCCGCTGTGGGTTCCGCCCCTGGTCCGCACCTGCTCTTGGATGCGCCGGGTTTCGTGGGCCAAGTCCATCTCCAAGGTCTCCAGACGTTCCTAGTTGGACGAGCGCATTCCGAAGCGGAGGACGACGAGCCAAGTCCGCCACTGAGATCTGGAAACGTGAACATAGCTTCTTCAGGAGGAAAGCCAAGAAAAGAAACCTATTTAGAAGAGGCACTTTAGAAAACAAGTAGACCAAATCATAAACCACAGTCATTGAAACCTTTGGGACGTTGGTTCCATTCCACTCCGCCAGCTCGTCTTCTATCATAGACGCTAGCACTCTCCGTTCTCCAGAACCAGCACTCTCGCACTGCCGCCAATTGGACCAACTGTTCTCTTTCTGCGAAAGTGGAAAAATGTCAGCACACCCCAGTCACCGTATCGCTACTACCTTGGAGGCCGGTATCAGGTTGGAGGCCATTGCTATTACAGGTTGAACGAGGGTAAGGTTGATCATTGAACTCATCCGATTCCGAGAGTTTCAGCCTCCAACATGGCATGCTGTTCGGCATTCGAAAGCTCCTGTGATCGGCTCGGTGGGCTCGGTGAGGGACTGATGACATATTGAAGCATTCGATAGAACGGGCAACAAGCTGCTGTCAAAGGCACTCAAGTTATCTCAAGTTTGCCACAGTCAGAAAAGGGAAACGTGAACATAGCCTCTCTCTCTTCTCCTTCTGCGAGCGATGACCCCCTTTCCGTCCAGTCCTTCCATTCCACATCCGCCCTGAGCCGTTCCAAGCTTTTCTCGGCAGCCTGAGAGAACCGTTGCGTTTATTATCTTTTTGAGTCAGAGTCTATAGACCTCTTGGACGTAATCCTTTGGAGCACTCAAGCTTTGAAATCCCGAAGTCAAACTAGGGTTGCAGCCTGGTGCCTCTCGACCGCCTGGCTGTATTCATGTGTGGCCTGCGTCAAGCCCGAGTGAGAGGAAGGTTTTAATGTTGAAGAGCAAATCAAGATCTTGTGAACAAGAAGCTACTAGGAGCAAAGGGCATCGCTACTAGGAGCAAGGACGCTACTAGGGGTTCCTGGCATCGCTACTAGGAGCAAGGACGCCACATGTAGATCTTGAAATCAAACGAAACGTGCTTGCTTTTCATGAATGGAGATTCTGCTGCACACGTCACATGGGATTCGGTTCAGCCGTTTCATGGGCGTGGTCACAGGCGCCACCAATACCAGCACCACCCACAGCTTGCGCCTTTGATGAGATTTTCTCAAATTCCGCCACAAGCTCGCCATTGGCAACACGCACCGCCTAGCATTTGCAGAAAAACCGTGCAGTCCCAACCCTCTGCACGTCCATAATGGTCCATGCATTCCGGGAGCCGAAGATCTGCGGTCGATTTGGGTCCGGTGTGCTTCTGGCCTTAGGTGTACTAGGAGCGTTCGGACGCTACGTTCGGGGCTCCTGGCCTTACTACTAGGAACAAGGGTTTAGGGTTTAGGGTTTAGGGGCTCCTGGCATCGCTACTAGGAACAAGGTTCGCTACATGGAGATGATGTCCGGTCCATCACAAAAGGTTCTTTTTTTCTGTCCGATGAAGAACACCGACCTGCAGCTGCTTGGCCGCTTGTTGCCTCCAAGCCTCACAAAGTCGGCGGGTCAGAACTGGGACACAGTTGACCACGGATTAAGGAGTCCCGATTTGGACGCCAAATCTGATTCGAAGTTGTCACCAAAAATGAAGGAAATGCCCAATGCTCCTGTGTGGTGCTTCAAAAATGCCCATGGCGCCTCCATTTTCTTTTCCAAACAATCAGCAGAAGCTGGCTATTGGATGCTATTGGTCTAGTTGATGGACTACGTGGCACCACCACTACAGTCACTAGCTGTGGTCAAATGCGGAAATCACATGCGGCATGGAATGACCCTATTGGCCACATCTTGCCTGTTCTGTCTTTTATTCCTTGTCTCTTTTCTGCGTTCTTTTCCTAATGCGTGCCTTTCCTAATTATTTTCTTTGGTTCTTTTCTTTCTCCAGACCTTTCCTTTCTTCTTCTCTGCTTTCTTCCTAAATGTTCGCTTCAAACCAGAACGCTAGTAAACCAGTACATGCAACTACGAAAAATTGAGAAAAACACCTTATTGCGTTCACAAGCAGGGCTTCACCCCTTGGACCATGTCACCCCCTGGACCATGTGTCCTTTTCATCGGAGCGCTCCAGGGAGGGCCAAGTACGATGCAATGCATTGGAAAGGCGAGCAGTCTCCTGACCGTCGAGCGGAATCGCACGTGGGTCATGCCGGAATGGGCGTAGGACGCGCCGGAAAGAACCTACATGCCGGCAGGCCTCCAACCTGAGGGTGTAAGAGGACAAATATCTCAGGAGCATGCCATATCAAATTCAGTTGGAGACATTAGAAGCGTTTGCGCATGACCACGGGGCCATTTCTTGTGAAACAACGACTACCCCGCACCGAGAAAAGCGTCCAACGACGTGGCCAACGACGCGTTCGTCCATCGTTTCGTGCCTCGGTCACTTGTGCTTGCAAGTCTTTCAGCCCGAGGTCTAAGTCTTGCACCCAGGCACCTAGGAGCAAAGGGCATCGCTACGAACGGAGCAAAGGGCATCGCTACCAGGGGCTCCTGGCCTCGCTACTAGGAACAAGGACGCTACCAGGAGCAAAGGATGCAAATATGTCACACCAGGCACCTCAAGTCTTTCCCGTGTCAATAAGTCTCATTCGGTTCTTTCTTCCAACAGAAAAAGTTTTCTTCTTTCGTTGTCATTTTTCTCGTGTCTTTCAGACCCAGACCGTTTCTCTGGGGGCTCAATCGCAAGCAATTGGCTACACATTCCAGCCCCCTATCCAGAACACAAATCCAACAGAATTCGTATGCCGGCAATTCAGAAAGTCCGCATCACATGTCCCGCTTGTCTTCCTTTGCCTGTTAGAGTTCGTCCATGTCGCCTTGAGCACGAAGGCCAACCTCCACATGGAGGGTCTCCACGTCTTGCAGCAAGGTGGTTAGCTGTCTGTTCACCTGCAATCGGTGGAGTCTGATGGTCCAGAATTCTAGCTCTGTCCTTCCAGAAGTAGTTTCACTAGTCACTGGTGTGCATGCCTGAATTTGAGCCTGCAAACAAGACAAGTGAGTAACTGGCCATTTGCGCTACTTGCCACACACAACATGTGGCTCAGTGTCCTTTATACTCGTCTCACAACTCTGAAATGAAGCTAATCACACCAGTCTGATGCCCCACAAAAAGATTCCTTCACTGCACTAGTCTGTAGCGGCCATCAAAAGGAGTGCAAACAAACCCGACAGGGTGAGACATCTCCACCTGCGCCATATCCGCAGTTTTCAAGTCTTCGTTCAAGAACAAGAGATGGGCAACTGGCAACACTTGGAGCTGGTGGCCAGAGACGCAAAGTGTTTAGGCAAAAAGAAAGAAGGAACTGTGAGACAAATACTTGGGGATCCACCAAACTCACCAAAAATGGGTGAGCCACCGTTAAGGGGCTGCAAACTTGTAACCCTTCCAAGCACTCGTGTGCATGTTTCATGCCCTTTTTCATTCAGCAATTCAAAGGCTTTACAAAAGCCAAAAGAACATACAAGAGCACTGTGTTCATCGGAACAAGCTCTGAAGCATCTGTTCATCAGAGCCTTGCTCACCGAACTCTTTCTGTAGCGCTTCAAGGCCGCTTTGCTGTTCTTCGCGGAGCTGCTGCTGGCACTGCTCTAAAGCCAAATGGCCTCGGTCTCAGATCGAAATCTTGAGGATTGGAATTGCTGGATCGAGAAGACAGAAAGTAAACCTTACCCACAAGAAAAGACCTTCGTTTCCTTCAGACTGCCGGGCGAGAACTTTGCACCTCTTGAAGCTCACAGTGAGCCCTTTCGTGGCTAACAACAATGCAAGGCTCTTTGCAGAATATTCACCCATGAAACAGTCATGGAAAATGGGAAAATACCGTTAGCCACGTTCTCAAATCTGACATTCTAACAAACATCAACTTTGTGGAATGGGCTCTTTTGGAGTGTAGAAATCTGCCGCACCCTGCTTGAAACTCGTGAAGGGACATGGTTCTCGCTTCACTCGAGTCTGAAGATGAGCTTTTCCAGACGGAGTAAAGCTACGGTGTAACAGGGAGAGCTGCAAGCTTGCTGCTGCGACTTGCGAATTGGACCTCGAAGGCTTCCGTCACACTTCTTTTGGGTGTATTGCGCAAGCACATGTGGTTGCGTTGATTAAGAAACGTTTTGACTCCCAATTTCAGCCCATGCTGGGCAAAGTTTGATCTCACCACGCTGTCTATCCCACCCTCTGGTGCAGACGGGACCACAAACAGAACGAAGTGGCAGCAGGGCTCCATCATCTGATCTAGATATGAGCATGCCTCCGTTGACTCCATGACTGCAGTGCTCTACCATATCGGACATTCCCACATGTGCTTTCGCCTCCCAACGTCTTGTCAAACGTGGCCCACGTCTTGTCGAACGGGTTGGATGTGTTGTGACTGAAAAGCCCCTAGTAGCGTTCTTGCTCCTAGTGGTACGGCCAGGAGCCCCTAGTAGCTTCTTGTTCCTAGTAGTAAGGCCAGGAGCCCCTAGTAGCGTCCTTGCTCCTAAGTCAAGTTTTTGCAACTCCAACATATCTGGTTTTCCAAGGACATTCCTTTCAGCACCTTTCCACTTCTACTCCCTCCTTTTCTCGTTGGGTCTCGCCCCTGCTCGCTATTCTTCCCTGAATCTCCAACACCACAGCTCAGGTTGGCACGCTCCACCATCTCCTGGTTCTTCTGCAGCATCTCATCTGGCCACAACATTTGGGTACTTCTATCTCGACACAGAGCTTGGCCTTCACATGAGTGCCTCACAACTTATTCCCATGATTCCCCCCCTGCCTGCAATGCCTTGCGCACGCTCTTCATGCGCAACGCTTCGACTGTGCAGCCGTCCGAGCTCCTACGTGACGGTGAGATCCCCCACGTCGCCATGACGAGCAGGGCTCGACCCGTGGGAATCACCGTCTCGATTGGCACGAAGTCCAAGAATCGGAATGTCGGGTTGTTCGTCACGTGTTAGTCCGGTATGTCAGTGTCTCAGGCAAACCAAACCGGGCTATGTAGATGTGATGCCAGATCGGGTTGTACACAGAGAGATTGGGATTCTCCATCTCCTCTGTGAGCTGGTCTTTGACTTTTAAGAGCTGCCTGAGGTGTGGCGTGTCCAGGATTCTGATGAAATCTTGGAGTCGTTTTTGAGCTCTCTGGGTTTGCAGCCAAAAAGTCTTTGCTGGAAGGAACCAGTCTCCACACGACAGTCTATCCAACAGCATAACCATGCAGCCTAACCATGCAGCCGCTGCTCATCCTTTGGGTCCTTTGTGCACACCCGAAGACCTTTGTTTCGGCTTGCATGCGAGCGGCTCTTCCAAAAGTTTCTGCGACTCGACCGCTTCCTGCGAGCGTCCACGATCTAAGAGGAGGTGATGCTTGTGATGCTTCGAGTCGAAAAGTTTTCACTCCTACTTTGCTCCTAGTAGCTTCTTGTTCCTAGTAGCGTTCTTGCTCCTAGTAGTACGGCCAGGAGCCCCTAGTAGCGTTCTTGCTCCTAGTAGCGATGCCAGGAGCCCCTATAGTAGCTTCTTGTTCCTAGTAGCGTTCTTGCTCCTAGTAGTACGGCCA